CCACCATGCCCGGCTAATTTTTTCTATATATTTTTAGTTGTCCGATTAATTTTTTTCTATTTTTAGTAGAGATGGGGTCTCGCTCTTGCTCAGGCTGATCTCGAACTCCTGAGCTCAAACAATCCGCCCGCCTCGGCTTCCCAAAGTGCTGGGATTACAGACGTGAGCCACCGCGCCCGGCCTGGTGTGGTTTTTTTTTTGTTTGTTCGTTTGTTTGTTTTTTGAGACAGGACCTTGCTCTGTCACCCAGGCTGGAGTGCAGTGGCCTGATCATAGTTCACTGTAACCTTGAACTCCTGGGCTCAAGTGATCCTCCTGCCTCAGCCTCCCAAGTAGCTGGGACTACAGGCATGTGCCACCACATCCAGCTACATTTGTTGTCTTTTCACTTTCTTCTTGGTGTCCTTTGAAGCCCAAAAGTTTTTAATTTTGATGAACTTGAATTTATCTATTTTTTATTTTGTCATTTGTGCTTTTGTTGTTGTATCTAAGAAAAATATTTTCTAACCATGAATATTTACTCCTGTGTTTTCATTTACAGCTCCTTTCTTTTATAATATTGGCTCTTACATTTAGGTTTATGATTGATTTTAAGTTCATTTTTGTGTATGGTGCAAGATAGGGGTCTAACTTCATCCTTTTGCATGTGGCTATATAATTGTTCCAGCATCATTTATTGAAAAGATGATTCTTTCCCCCATTGAATTGTCTTGGAACACTTGTTGAAAATCACTTGACTCGTGATGTTTTTAAAAGATGTTTTCTTATTTAACAAATAGTAATTATTGTAAAAATTAAGTAAAATGGTTGGGTATAAAGTTAAAATAAAAATACACCTACCAGAGTTAACTTGTCCTATGTGAACTTATCTGTGCATGTACAAACACATATATACTTCTTGTTTTTAATATAAACAATAGGATATTGAACATCCAGTTTTCCCAGCACCATTTATTTTGTTCTTTTAACTTTTTAAAAATTGATACATAATATTTTAGATACTTATGGGGTACATGTGATATTTTGTTACATGCATAGAATGTGTAATGATCAAGTAGGATATTTGAGGTATCCATCATTTTTGAGTATTTATTATTTTTATGAGTTGGTAACAGTTCAAATCCTCTGTTCTAGTTACTTTGAAATATGCAGTATATCCTGGTTAACTATAGTTGCTTTACTCATTGCCAAACAATAGAGCTTATACCTTTTATCTAACTGTTTTGACTAAACAATTTATCCTGGATAGCCTTCCGTGTTAGTGCATATATTGATAGATCTGCCTTATTCTTTTGGTAGCTGCATAATATTTATAGTATGACTTTATCTGTTTTATTTTTATATTAAATGTTTTATTGAAATGTTTAAAATGTTATTTAAATATTTTATTTAAAATGTTTATTTAACCATTTTATTTTGGAGTAATTTTAGATTTACAGAAGAGTTGCAAAGAGTACAGAGAGTTCTTTTATACCCCTTACCCTTTTTCCTCCAAGGCTAACATAACCATGACATACTTACCAAAAAATAAGAAACTGACATTGGTACATTATTAGTAACTAAACTTTATACAGATTTCACTAGTTTTTTGTCTACTGTTTCTTTTCTATTCAAGGACACAATCCAGGATACCATATTGCATTTAGTATTATCCATTTTGAAATGTTTAATTTTTTTCCATACTTACTCTAATAGGCAAGAAATACCCATAGTAGAAAATTCAAAGGGCATAAAAGGGTATACAGTGAAAAATCAGTCTCCTTTCCTCCCCATCTTTCTTGCATGTATAAGCATTGACTACCCACCCAACACAGAAAATAGCCCATTGAACATGCCACTGTTTAATAATAAATATAAGAAGAGAGGGGTGGACCAGCTGTCCCAGAAGTAGCACCCTTCTCTTTAACAGTGTTGGTCCAGCAGACAGATACCTTACCTCCCAAGTGTGAATGAGGAGTCTTTGGCTCCTAACAGAGCCTTACACAAGACATAGAACCATGTGATGTTTATATGTGACAATGCTTTGTAAGTATATATAGCACACTATTTGTGCAAGGTGTCTTTAGGTCGTGGGCATGCTAGGGCAGTGGCCAGGCAGGACAGAAGAGCCTGTTGGCCTGTCCACTCTACCTTTCTGACTCAGGCTATCCTTGGTTGACAGGTTTGTCTCAGAGGCAGAGTTATCTGTGGCCGTGCAAAGCTTCCTCCTGTCTCTGCAGGACCAGGGCGAGCGCCCCCAACTGGTGGTCTTCAGAGCCTCCATCTATCTTCTTGCAATCTGCCAGGACAAAGATAGTGCACTAGATGAGGTATGGACCACAATGCCTGGGGCTCCTCCTCCTGCACCTTTTTACATTAATGCTCCTTGGGAGACCATGATGATATGTGTATAGACAAGGGGTGGGGGGTGGAAGAGAGAGACGGAGTGGGTGATAGGGGAGCAGAGAAGAGTAGAGTGCTGGCACAAACAGAGCCTATATGGTTTAGCTAATTCTCTACAGTCCTAGGAGGTGGTGATTATTTTTTTTATTATTATTTTTTTAATTTATTTTTTTTTCTCCTTGGCATGGTCAGAGAAAGATTATTATTTAAATTTTACAAATAAGAAAATTAAGACTGAGGTTAAAGTAACTTTCTCTAGGTCGCACAGTTAATTGATGGGGGAGTCAGGATTCCAACTCAGACTTGACTGACTCCCAAGTCTCATTCCTTGGTACCACCTCTGGTTTGTGCAGGAGGAGAGAGCTGTGAGGTATTGTATCTCCTTCTGGTAACAATTTATCAAACAAAGTGGATTGCTGGGACCCAGATAATTGCTAATCAGGCTGATCTTGGATCTCTTTGACAGTGGTTGTATGTGTACAGGTTTTCTCTCTCCAGTTTCTTTATAAACTCTTGGGGATCAAGGTTATGTCTGATTCATCACCTAACTTCTCACCTATTTCATAGAAGATTGCTGGAGGGAGGTGAAAGGGTGTCAAATTTGTATGCAGGTGGAGAAAGATTTTTCACACAGAGTTTAGGATATACAGAATTAAAAGTTTGTTTATTTTTCTGAGAAAGAAAGAGAGAAACAGAGCGGGAGTGAGTGGCCACAGCACATGAATGAAGGAGGAGAAATGCTGGGCCCTGAGAAAAAGCTGCTTGGAGTTTTAAAGGGTAAAAATGGCTTTTTTCCTGCTCTGCTTTAGCAGACTGATAACAGAAGCAGCAGTGAAGCCGTTGCAGATGTTCTTTTTTTTTTCTTTTCTCTATGAGGCTGGCTTATCTGAGTCTTTGGAATCTGGTTCTGGGAGGAACTGAGGACCTTTGACCCCTGCCAAAACAGCTACCTTCCTGCCTTGATGCTATCTGTGAATGTTCTTTATGTAGAAGCAGAATGACCTTGAAAACATACATTGTGCATGCATGTCCTGAAAGGCAGAACTCCTGGATTCACATTCTGGTTCTGCCACTAATGTTCTGGGCATCCTTGAGAAGGTCTCCTTCCCTTTCTGGGCCTTGGGCATGTCATCTGGAAGTTAACAGTTTAGGCCAGAGTCATCTCTGAGATCTCTTTTGATGCTCACAGTCTTTGAGCCATTGTGGGAAGCAGTGGAGAAGATGGGCTGGTGTGTGTCGGGGGTGTGTGTCTGAGGACCCCCAACAGCTGGAGTGTGGGTATCTCTGTAGGGATCGACATTTCAGAGTGTCAGGCCCTACCCACCCCTGGAAGCTCTTCCTTTTCAGCAACTTCACTCCAGTTTGATCAGCATTTCCTAAGCCCTTAAACACTACTCAATGCACATGATTTTTTTATTTGCTTCTCAACATTTTAGCAACTCAACCAACAAGGACTGACCACTTGATGAGAGCTAGGTGCCATGTGGGGCATGTCAGGTTTGGGATGAATCAAACAAATTCCCTGCCCTTGGAAAGCACCAGTTTGTCAGGTGAGACAAAAAGGTCTCCTACAAGGCAGGCAACTGCAGCAATGAGTGCTTTTCTGGAGCTGGAGGACTGGCCAAGAATTACCAAAGCACATGGGGAGAGAGATTGCATCTGATTCTGGCATCGGGAGAGTCTTCCTGGAGGAGATGGAGGAAGAAGGGAGAACTTTGAAGCTGAGAATAGAGCATGATTTAAGATATGGAAGTGGGAAGTTGCCCAGTCTATCCATTCAAGGAAGGAAGCCTAGTTAAATGTGCTTAGCTAAGTCATATGAGAGATAGAGTGGGGAGAAGCTGAAAAGGTAGACTTAAGTCTTCAATAACATGCTTGAAAATGAAATTTAAAAAACAACTCCATTTAAAATAGCATCAAGGAATTAAACACTTAGGAATAAAGTTAAGAGAAAAGTATAAGGATACAGTGAAAATTTTAAAGCATCACTGGCCGGGCACGGAGTTTCATGCCTATAATCCTAGCACTCAGGAGGCAGAGGTGGGAGGATTGCTTGAGCTCAAGAGTTCGAGACCAGACTGATGAAGAGTGAGACCCTGTCTCTACTAAAAATAGAATAATTAGCTGAGTGTGGTGGCATGCACCTGTAGTGCCAGCTACTCGGGAGGCTGAGGCAGGAGGATCGCTTGAGCCCCGGAGTTTTAGGTTGCACTGAGCTATAATGACACCCACTGCACTCTACTCAGAGTGACAGAGTGAGACTCCGTCTGAAAAATTTTTTTAAGGCCGGGCGTGGTAGCTCACGCCTGTAATCCTAGC